TCATACAGGCATCCAGTCTCCCATTCATGACACAGCATTCACCTTCCCTACGATGGACGATCTCAACAGTACGGACAAAAACAACGGCAAGAGTACAATACCGGAAGACATCGAAGAACAGCACTACTACTATGGGTACATCATCTCAAGGCAACTAATCTACTTGGAACTATGCATCTTCATTCCTGGGCTTGGCGAATTCTTCAACCGCCTTGGCTATGGATCTGCATCTTCTCTTAGCGATGGCTAAGTGAGAGGAATCAAGGGCTCTACTTCTGACACTTCCGAAGGTGGAGGTGCTGGCGGCACTGCAACACCGGTCCTCCTTCTTTTAGGCGGGTGGACAGGGATCCCTTCCAAGATCGGGGCATCCTGCCTTTCAGCAGCCAGTGACCTCTGCTTGGCCCTGGTGATAAGATAGGCCTCCCGTAGCTGATGGACGTGTCGATCTTCAGCCTCCTTCAGAGCTTCGGACATGGCAGTCTCCCGTGTCTCAGCAGCTGCAGCACTAGCATGCGCCTCGGCGAGCTGCACCTGGAGGATTCGGGTGAAGATCTCAGCTTCCTCCGCCCGCCGGAGGCAGATCCTCAGTTCCAAGGCTTGCCGGTCATACTGCTCATCCAGGGCAAGAAGGTACGTGGTCAAATGCACCATGGTAGGACTATCCTCTTGCGCATCCCGCCCTTGTAAAGCCTCCATGCGAGCTCTCCATGCCATCCGATTTCTGTCCAAAGGTGGAAAGAACCGCATGGGGGTACCAGCAATGGGCTCCTCATAGATCTGGCAGAGGTACCGCAAAGCTTTGCGGGCCACAACCTGGTAGGTGTCGATAAAGCTAAACCCAGTTGTGGTCACACTCCAGGCTCCAGTGAGGTCGGGGAACTCCCCACTCTTCCCGATGTAGACGGTAACCTCACATCGCTCGGTGCCTTGCTCCTCATACTCATGGCCCTCATATTCGGGATGATCTTTGACTCCGAGCTTTTGCTGGGTGGCATGCAGGATTCTAGGAAAACCCTCAACGTTCAGGCAGTAACTACTAACCCAGGCTCCTGCCATTTCTAGCGGTGGTTGTGAGGAAGGCTGAGCAAAAAGCTAGCTCAAAGGAAAAGCTAAGCGAGCTAAAGTGCGCCGAGTGGTGGTACCAATGGCTAAGCCAGGCTCTGCTTATAAAGGCGGAGCGGTCTGTGGTCCTGACGCGGTTCACTAGGGTTCCTACGTGGGATCACTATGAATGAATCGACCAAATTCTGCGTGTTCGAGGCGAGCGACGTGCGGTGCCATTACTGAGTAGTACGACTGCATGGCAAGGGTCCGACAAGAGCACAGAAAAGGGGTACGAGGAGACATGGGTCACTACAGGCGTGAAGCACGGGCGAACGTGGAGGATGAAGCCACAGTGCAGACCTAACTCTGGAACAGGAATGAATAGGTCATGCACAATACGACACGCGTGACACCTATGGATGGCGTATCTGCCAGCAATGCAGCACTATAATGCATAAACAGGATATGCATGAATGCACGTCCTATACGTTCTTTAACTGTTGCCAACATATAGGGAAACCATATCAACTTTTTGGCATATCGTTCTCTCCCTGTTGGCGACCAACCCCAACCACCGACCACCTCAGGAGCAACGTGCACACAAACCAAGCCGTGTCTTAGATGCATAGATGCATGTGTAAGTACAAATGTTCCTACATGGTCGATAAATCGTTTTTATCTGATGGTAAGGAGGAGAGGCATTAAATGTGTCCACCTGCCCGACTTGTTTTTATCTGATGGTAGCATGGAGGGGAGGCATCAAATGTGTCCACCTGCTTTCGACCCACCCTGCGTAGGTGAAGATGTCAAGCGCTTTTAAATTTACTGAGTGAATTTCTGGATAGCTTAGGGAATGGTCTCCGACACTGCTCGTCTCGTGCGCGTAAAAATCCTGCCGCTTTCCTTTTATTGTTCTCTACTCCAGACTAAATGGTGGACTGCGCCAAGCCCAATGACCGCTCCTCCATTACAAAAAGCCTAGCCTAGCCACTTGGCACCACCACTCAGTGAGTCTTAGCTCACCTAGCCTTTCTCCCGAGCAAGCTTCTCACTCGATCCTTTCTTGTAACCATCATCCACCAAGGATGGTAGGAGCCTGGGTTAGCAGCTATTGCCTGAACACTGAGGGTTTCTCCAAAATCCTGTATGCCACCTTGCAAAAACTCAAAGTCAAGGATTGCCCCGAGTACGAGGGTCGTGAGTATGAGAAACATGGTACTGAGCGATGTGAGGTCACCGTCTACATTGGAAAGAGTGAGGAGTTCCTCGATATCACTGAAGCCTGGAATGTGACCGCAACCGGGTTTCGCTTCGTCGACACCTACCAAGTTGTGGCCCGCAAAGCCTTGCGGCATCTTTGCCAGATCTATGAAGAGCCAATTGCTCGTACCCCCATGAAGTTCTTTCCACCTTTGGAAAAGAATCGACGGGTATGGAGGGCTCGCATGGAGGCTTTGCAAGGGCGGGACGCGCAAGAAGACAACCCAACTGTGGTACATCTGGCCACGTATTTGATTGCTCTGGATGAGCAGTATGACCGGTAGGCCTCGGAGCTGAGGAAGTGCCTCCACCGAACCGAGGAAACCGAGATCTTCTCTAGGATGCTCGAAGTGCAACTCGCTGAGGCGCATGCCAATGTGGCAGCCACAGAAAGTTGTGAGACTGCCATGGCGGAAGCCCTGAAGGAGGCTGAAGATCGTCACACCCAGCAGCTAGAGGATGCTTATCTGGTCACAAGGGCCAGGTGTAGGACGCTTGACATAGAAAGGCAGGAACCCTTGGTCTTGGAGGGAATCCCTGTCCACCCACCGGAAAGAAGGAGAACTGGTGTTGCAGTACCACCAGCACCTCCACCCTCGAAGGTATCAGAAGTAGAGTCCTTGCTTCCCCTCACTCAGCCACCACCACGAGAGGAGACAGATCCTTAGCCAGTGCAGAAGAAGAACCAACCGAGGCCGGGAATGAAGCCGTTTGGTCCGATGAAGTAGATGAGTTGTCCTAGGGGACATGTACCCGTAGTTAGTAGTGCCTTTCATCACCATCCTCTAGTGTTGTAATCTTTCCATTGTATTTCAGCCGTAGATGTTAAGAACAGTCGGGTCGTAGGAGCCAAACGATGTGTCGAGAATGGGAGAGGGAGTGCTTGTATGTTGTACTCATATAAGGGTGTTTTAGACATGCATTTTGCTTTATCCATTGTGTTTGTTATGTCGATTTACCCTTAGACCTCGTTACTTACTTAGGGTTCTCGAGGCAAAAAAAAAACAAACGGGTTACAAGAAAAGCAACCATTCAGATGCAAGCAGACCAGCTATGATTGGAAATGAATCACAAAGGAGGTAGCAAATTAAAGCCGCCTTTTCACAAATTAAAGACCTCCAACTAACATAGTGTAGGCTTTCATTTTCAAGTTGTATGTTTGACCTAAGACCGCATGCAAACTAAAGCCACGCGCACCGCCAGTGGCCACTCACCCGCGCTCCTTTTCTCGCACACTGGTGCCGTCCTCTCAGCGTCACGCCGCTATCTCTTCTGCACCACCACCCACCGCACGTCGCACCATCGCCCCACGACACCGCTCGTGATGTCACCTCCATTGGGCCAATGCTGCCGCTGCTGTCCCCCACAAACCTGATTCCCTCAGCCCCCGATGCTGCTCAGTGCCGCCGATAATGGCTCACACCCACCCTCTAAACCCGCCGTCAATCGCCTATAAAATGCCCCCTAGCTCCCCCTTCACAACAAGACACTCCACACTCGACACTAATCACCCACATAAGCCCTCTATTCAAATGCCAACCTATTTCAACATTTTAAGAAGAAGCCTGAGAAAAGTGCTACAAGCTGGAGACTATCGAAGAAAACATCAAGAAGGAGCCGGAGTACATTGTTAGAAGCAAGAAGCTAACACTCTCAAGATGTGCTTAGATGAAGATGAGCTCACCATGACCATCTTTGCTATCCTAACTCCTACTATGGTGGCATCAATCATATTGTATATCCTTGTAATACGCCCGCTACCCTACGAGAGGCCCCGAGATAGTTGTTGGAATAAGAAGAGCTGAATAAATATTCAAGCTTCGCGGATTTATTCAAATTTCGAGGGCATAGGGCCTGTCCACAACTTGACTACACATGATTAAGTTATTTCTTACATTCACCAAATAAATAGCGGCGCAATTCCTATACCAGCTATATTGTGATGCAAGGTCGTTTGCAATTGTCATTGTGGTTAAGTTTTTACATACCTAGCATAGTATCAGTGCTGGGTATCCATGTGAGTTCCTTGTCAGTAATAACTAAATAAAGTTCGTACAGGTGCACCATAACTGCATTTCTGTTTCAAACCAAGGATTATAATTCTGATATATTGAGGTCAAGCATTCTTGTCATGCTTCTTGGGCTTGGGCAGCACGCATACATGTTTCAGGAAGTCTCATCAGACACAAAAGCAAGTCTAAAACTCTGATGTAGATCTAAAAAATGTAAGAAGTTGATCCACATTTTTCATTAAAGGAAAGAACATTTAAAACAAATGGTCTTAGTAAGCCAAGGCTTACCAAAACCAGCACGATCCCTGTAACGTTTCACAAGGATCAAGAATTCATAATTAGGCAATCACATACAAACAATTCACGACCAAGACCAAGACCACTATCAACTCTAAGAGAAGCAACGGACGTAGAAGCACAGCTAGCCACTGAAGGTGACACCTCTAGGCAACTGAGATCTCTATGCATCTCCCCAATTGAAGCTAGCATCTCGTTGACGTCCAAAGGTGATGGAGCACGAGCACCAAAGCATCCGATAATTGAGGCAGCGACATGGTCTATTCTTCTTTTCTTTGTTTGTTTTTTTCCACACTGGTAAAACCAAATTTCATTACCGCAGCAACGAAATTACAAGAAGTTTTCTTTTCTTTGTTTGTTTAGGAAAATACCAATGCAGTTCTCTCACAGAGATGATTGGTGTGCATATCTTTTCCACCTCCCGATTTTCTCACATCCCTAGAAACAGTTTAAATAATTAGGTAAATAGATCAAGTGACCATAGTTGCAGGTATAGATGCCGGTTGAGTAGCTGATCAGTGCTCATGCATTAAGAATGTGATAATGTGGCCAAGCCATGCCGACAGAAACTGTGGGCAACATGAAGTGTCTTTGTACTATATAAGATGACTTATAATGAGAAAACGACGTGTACCTTCCGTGGTTTAATAGCTAGCTCATTGTCTTCCATAAGAATGGCCTTCAAACCCAGCGGTTCCAGTACCTTCTGATAACTGATGTTTCAGAAAGGACAGTTATCAGCACAACAGTAAAGAATAATGCTACATTTTTTGTTTAACAATACAAAACTGATGATTCCCTTTTATTGTCAAAAATAAAGTAGCCATGTTACCAACAACAATACGAAAGTTTTTAACTGATGACAAAGGGATGGATATTCTTACTCAGCAACTGTATTATTGTAAGGTGGTCCTCCCTCTTGATCACTTATCTGTAATATGATATGAAGCTGTGTAAGAACTTCCCATCATGGTGAGCAAAGCAATTGAATACCATTCAAGAAGCTACTGATATCAACCATGCATACAGATTAATTTTGGTGTTCAGTGCTGTACTAATACTTGTATTCAACTTTTCCATGTTTCTGCTTTGTCTTTCCTATTAGAGTAATGACACCAAATGGACAAAACATACTGAGACAGGAGGTATTATGATTTTTATCATGTCTTTGTCCAATGAGAATCACTTGAGCCGATTCACACAAAATACAACATGTTCATTCATTACTTTCAGGGCCATCTCACTCTGAAAGCCCTGAAACACACAGGCACATGAAGATGAGACCAATGGAGAATACATAGGTGTCTGGCTGCTTTTGGGTACTTCTGAACTATCAAGCACTAAGGTCAGACTGAGTAAGCAAAATCCCTGCCCTGAATCTGATTTACACCAATCTATCAACAATGCACCCACTTTTCTCACTTTCCTCATGGCCCATCAATACAGATTCTACAACATCCCCCATAATCTATTCATTGCCTTCAGAATGTATCCTACCAACATAACTTCCAGTGGAGTACATCATATATATTGTAATCCCTCAAAGATGGAAAGAGCTAACAACACAACCTTCTAGGATTAGAATACATATAAAATTAGGGTAGGTAATTACGGGTAAATGAGATAATTGGAACTTTAAAGTTCAGTTTGAAGAAGAGAGCATCATATGATTTGTACAATGAGTGGAAGCGGGCGGTTCATGCAAAGACACACAGATCAAAGATTACATCCTCACCAGATAAATCAAGGTAATAGGCTCTCCATCTGGTTTTAGAAGCCGGTTAACTGTCTCTGCCCAAGCGACCCTCAAGCTCGGGTCAAGTGCACAAAAGAACCTGCACACATCGATACATACAATTTGAGCTGCCATCAAAATAATAAACTGATAATATGTGTGACACCTACGTGTAATCAAATATAAGATCGAATTGTTCGCTCGGTATCTACTTGAAGAAATCTTCAGCCAGAAAAGTAAAACAATCTGCATTGGGCAAAGAGGATGATCACTATACACCAATGGAGAAGACAATCAGACACAATTATCCTAAAAGCAGAAGACAGTTTTTAAGACAAAAGGTATAGTACAAAAGCTGTATTACAGGTGCAATGATTGGAATAATGTATATTTTATTTGCAAACAGACTCAACATCAATTAGGCCTGTTTAGATCCCACCCAAAATCCAAAAATTTTCAAGATTCCCCGTCACATCAAATCTTGCGGCACATGCATGGAGCATTAAATGTAGATCAAAAGAATAACTAATTGCACAGTTTGCCCGTAATTGACGAGACGAATCTTTTAAGCCTCAATAGTCCATAATTGGATAATTTTTACCAAATACAAACGAAAGTGCTACAGTAGCCGAAAGCCAAAAATTTTCGCATCTAAACGGGGCCTTATCTGTAAAGTGGGTTCGATCAAGCCCACACAAGCATTTTTGATTAAAATTTACAATTCAGGAGTTTTTTTTTCCTGGGGGGAGAGACCTTATCCACATAACAGGAAAACCATAAAGTTGCCGTTTCTTAACAATATATGGTTCGTTTTGTGATTAACATTAATTTGGAAAATATATTCTATGGCATATATCAAGCGCAACCACTAGGAAAACAAGAAGAAATTAGTTAAGATATCGAGCAGGCCAATTCTCAAGATACCTTCCCTTAGCTAATAAGTGATAATCAACTACTGGTCATAAGCATACCTGCTTAGCCTTCTTGACAGCCAGATCAGAAATATCCAAGCCAACAACAAAACGTTCAGGACTTGCCAGGGCGACCACATCATATCCCTGTTATACAAAAGCAACTCAATCTGGGGAAATAAGCTAAAATCTAAGTTCCAGTTTGTAATATATTAGGCTCCCTTTGTAGACCATGCAGCCATTGCTGAGCCTGCACCAGGACGCCTGGATGCATTTTACAGGGCCCTCGTGGCCTCCAATGACGCCCACCTTGGCCAGCTCGCCGCCGCTCTGCCGGTGCCAAAGGCCGATGGTCTTGTCGGCGGAGCCGGTGCAGAGCAGGTCCCTGACGACGTAGAGGCACAGCACTGCCATGTCGTGCGCCTTCACATCGCACGCGAGGGTCCAGCGCGCGGCGGTCCCAGCCGGCGATGTGGCTGTCGGAGCCCGCGGCGTAGACCCGGTGGTCGGATGCGGCGACGGCGAGCGCGTTCCAGGACACGCCATCGCGGGCGACGAGGACGCCCTGGAGGAAATGCGGCGCCTTGCCCTTCTCCCACGCCTTGACGCGGCCGTCGGCGGAGCCGGAGTAGACGACGCCGGCGCCGGCGGCGACGGTGTTGACGGCGTCGTCATGGGAGAGGATGTAGTCGAGGCACTTGAGGTCAGTGATGCGCCAGACCTTTAGCGTGCGGTCCCAGGAGCCCGAGTAGAGCAGCGCGGCGTTGTGCACGGTGGTGGCGACGGCGAGGCAGGAGATGCTGTCGGCGTGCTCGATCCAGAGGCGCTGGTGGCTGCGCGCGCGCCGTCGTCTGCACGTAGCTGGCCTGGCGGAACACCCGGCCCAGGTAGTCCCTGGCGGTGGGCAGCGCGGCGATGAGCTTGAAGGCGTTCTGGGAGCGGGAGCGGCGGGAGACGCGCCAGACGCGGACGCGGCCGTCCTGGTGTGCGGAGAAGACCCGCCCACCCGAGGCCGCCAGCGCCTTGACGGAGCCGCCGTTCTCGCCGTGGTCGAACCGCGCGAAGCGCCGCAGGTCGGGCTGCTGCCACACCACGATGTCGCCGCCCGTGGACGCACTGAGCAGGAACTCCCCGCAGAGCGAGAGGCTAGAGACGGAGCCCGCGTGGTCCCGCAGCACCGCCAGCGCATTGCACGGGCCCTGCGGCTGCGGCGGGCGGCGAGAAAGCGGAGTGGGGTGAAGAGGAGGCGAAGGTGGTGGTGGTGGAGGAGGAGGAGGAGAAGGACGCGAAGGAGGTGGAGGAGAAGGAGAGCTCGCGGCCGGAGGTGTAGGTCGCGCGCACGTCCTCCATGGGCCGCCCCAGCACGCGCCCCGCCGCCCTCGCCCCCGCCCCCGCCCCCGCCCCTCGACCGCCGCCTGCTTCGGCTGCGGCTGCGGCTGCGGCGGCGGCTGGGTCTGGGGCTTGGGCGGGGTCGGGTGACGCCGGCTGCTGCTCGGCGGCGGGGCGGTTGTAGCGCGACGCACGGTTGCCCATGGCCGCCTGCCGGGCTGGGGTCCGACGAAGGGGGGAGGAGGTGACCTCGACCGAAGTGGAAGAGGACTGGGGAAAATGAGCGCGGCCTGCGATGATCACAAGCGCGTGGGTGAGGCAGAGCGCGTTGGGTCGTGGACTCGTGGTCCGTTGAATTGCGTGCGGCGAGCGAGAAAGGACTGGCCAAAAAAATTTACCTTCTCACGAGATAAGACCGGGTACAGCTGCCATGCATGCAAATTAAGTAAGACCCAGCAGTACGCACGCACGCGTATCATGCTAATGCTAATTAGACATCGGCCATGTCGAGAATCCACCATCTCCTGTTACGCGTCACCATCCGTTTACGTGCGCATACGATCACCAGAAAAGTCATACTTCACTTGCTTCATCTGTGATGCTACGCGTCACCATCCGTTTACGTGCGCATACGATCACCAGAAAAGTCATACTTCACTTGCTTCATCTGTGATGCTACGCGTCACCATCCGTTTACGTGCGCATACGATCACCAGAAAAGTCATACTTCACTTGCTCCATCCGTTTACGTGCGCATACGATCACCAGAAAAGTCATACTTCACTTGCTTCATCTGTGATGCTACGCGTCACCATCCGTTTACGTGCGCATACGATCATCAGAAAAGTCATACTTCACTTGCTTCATCTGTGATGCGTCTCATTTGACCCATGAAATCTCTATCTAACGCGGCAGAAAGCCGTCGATTCGACGTGCCTTCGTATCTTTAATTCTGTATTTGAAGAGTAGTGCGTGTCGTCGTCTCACGAAAAAAGCGTGGCTAGGTACTTGTTTTAGTTTCCACCGTGAGTATTTTTTACAGTAAATCTATGCCTTGCTCGAGGGTTTCTTGGCTTCCGCTCACTCGATTTTCAGCGCCTGAGATGCATCCTCGCGCCTGCCCGTGAACTCTGTCGGCAGCTCACCCTCCTGCAGGTCAACGTGGTCCCCACTCGTGAGCCCAATCAATGCTCCCTGCAGTCACAAAACAAACGCCGCCGAGCATGGCCGTGAAAACGCGGGACCCAGCGTTTCTTGTGCAGTGCATGCAACCTGTCTCCATCATGTCGCATCACCTAGCCCCTATTATGCATCTATGTATACAGATTCATGACTTTACAGCAGATTATACATCTTATTGGATTATTTTTTACTCTTTCTATTTTAGTGTAAATTGATTATTCATACAATCTTATTGGATCATTTTTTACTCTTTTCTATTTTGGTGTAAAATGATTATTCATACATGAGAATGGTCAGGATTATTTGAAAAGTTATCTGTTCTTTGTTTTCGATTTTTATTTTATTCTCTGTATGTTTTATTTGGTTCTCCTTTGAAATTTTCTAATTTAACTTCCATAGAAATAATCTGACTATATTTTTTTGTTTTTTATTTTCTATATATTTTATTTGATTCTCCTTTGATATTTTTCAATTTGACTTACATAAATATAATCTGGCTAATCTGACCATTTAATTTTTAAAATCACAATCCCATCTTCAAATCCTCGAGTCTGCAACCTAGTTTTTCGTTAGGTACGTGCTAGTGCTATATAGTTGCATATGTACTGACCAAGGCCATGTTTAGATTGAAAGTTTTTTCAACCTGATGAATAGTACCACTTTCGTCTTATTTGGTAAATATTGTCCAATCGTGGACCAACTAGGCTCAAAAGATTCATCTCGTGATTTCCAACTAAACTGTGTAATTAGGGAGAGAAGCGGCTAAAAATTGATGTGATGGAGAGAGAGTGAAAAAACTTGGAATTTTGAAGGGAACTAAACAAGGCCCAAGTGTTCGGGAGAGATAAAGAGCCGTAACTCTTGACCAAGCGTTTGGGAGTCATCGAACACAGTCACATGCATGGCGCATGCATGCATAACAAGTCGTCAACAATTTGCAAACAAAAAGATGTGTGTGCATGTATCATAAGGTAGCAGTGATCGAACATAGTACAAACCAGGAGCGAGGAACGTACTCGGAAATAAATAAACACCGCACACACTGCATCATGCATGCAGCATGCACTCCAAAATAAACCCAACAAGCAAAAGGGCATCTCTCTCACACACACACGTACACACGGACGTACATACACGCTACGATGCAAGCGTATCACAGCGTACACGACGACACGTACGTACACACGGAGAGATTTTTATTCAGTAGTACAACGTAGCAGTAGACAACTCATCATCACGCGTAGATAGATAGATACTCATGCATACATGGTCGTCGACGCTCCGGCGCCGACGGCGGCGGCGGAATGGATCATCGATCGGTCATCAGGCTGTCGTTCGTTTAGCTCACCCTGCATGGAAGACGAAGCACAAGTTAAACGACTTGCTTGTTGAGTCATCAGTACATGCATGCATGCATGCAACTCTATATGCAAGTGGCAGTGATTCATTCAGAATTCAGATCATCACTTTGTACTAGCCCTGGCTAGATGTACCTGGAGCAGTCGGTGGAGGTGCTGATGGTGTAGGGGACGCTGACGCCGCACTTGGAGGGGATGCTGGCGGCGTTGCCGGCGTTGAGGCCGCTGATGCCCCGGGCGGCGTTCTTGAGGCAGTTGCAGGCGGTGCGCCTGTCCGCGGTGGTGCTGGCGGCGGAGTTGAGGCTCCTGACGCCGCTGCAGCAGCCTGCGGAGGGTGCGGAGCCCTGGCCGCGGGCGTAGGAGAGGCAGGGCGCGATGGCGGAGCTCACCTGCCCGCAGCTGATGGCGGCCTCCGAGGTCGCCGCGAGCACCACCACCGCCGCCGCCATGACGGCGATCGCCACAGCAAGCTGCATGCGAGCCATGTCGTCGATGCTCTGGGTGTCTGGGAGTGTGTGTGATGTGCGGCTGCTCGGAGGAGACTGCTGGTACTAGCTTTGGAATGCAGTGAGCAAGTGCTGGTGAGGAGATTGCAGTGGAATGTCACTCCTTAAATAGGCTTACGATCGATGTGCTGATGACACATGTGCATTGCATGCAGTTTCAGTCGGTGTGGATGCATGCGAATATGTCCATGGATCGATGGCACCTCGCCATCCATGGGAGTTAAGAGCTGGGCAGGAGGTGGTTGGGTGTTGGGAGGAGGAGCAGGCAGATGGATGTGGATGCACATACACATATACAGATACAATACAGATACACAGTGGTTAGTTGAGGCATAGTGAATTCAGAAGACTGTCTCATCCAAATACACATCTAAACTTAAAATAGGTAGCAGAGGCTCAAAACCAATCTCTAATGGAGTACTTATACGGGAGACTTATTTTAGATTGTCTAAGAGGTACAACCCAGATATGAGTATCCTCTCTCCTGGAAACCTATTTGTAGAAAGAATTTTCTTTTGGATCATGTTGTTGGAGAGGATGTCGAATGGGTATTGAATCATTTGACTGTAGCGCTACCTAAACATTGAATGAGTCTTGTATTTTGGGTGTTGTTGTTGGAGATAGTCTTAGCAGCCGCCTAACACGACTCGTTCGGCTTACCTTATAATCCGTACTATTCAGCTTATTTTTTCAGTCGGAACAATATTTTTCTCTTACAATAATTCAATCAAAAAACTATTTCTCAGCTAATTCAGCCAAGTTTCAGCGAGCCCTAGAGCGCAGCGTGATGGCGGCAGCCTGAGCCGTCAGACGTATACGTGGCTCATCTGATGCAGTTGGAGGCGCATTCACTCTCTCTCTCAGCGTGTCAGTGTGAGGTAGTTTGGAGTTGCATCTGAGTGCTTATCGCACAATTAACACATAGGAGTTTCTCCTAATTTCAAACTTTGGTACTATACAAAAAGAAGATTCTCTATCACATCAAATTTGCAGTACATGCATGAAGTCCTAAATGTTGACGAAATAAAAAACTAATTGCACAGTTTTGTTGTACTTTGTGAGACGAACGTTTTGAGCCTAATTAGTCAACGATTGGACAAGTATTACCAAATAAAAACAAACGACACTGTAGCTACAGTGTTGCTACAGTGTTTCAGGCGGCGCAGAGTCGGGCGAACTAAACGCGGCCATACTCCTCTCCTACATTAACACATCAATAATCCATCGATCTGTCTAGATCTCCATTGGATCCTTCCAGTAGTCTTCGGTAATTCCACCCGCACCCAGAAGAACAGAGATTGAGGACGGACGCTTACAGCAAGCAGTACAGTGCAGGAGGTTACAAGCACATTCAGAAATTAAAACAGCAGCAGCAGCAGCAGTGGTAGCGATTAAGTGGTCCAGCAAGTATGGGAGCCCACATGTCGCTGTCTCGATCGGAAGCAGGAACCACCGCACCGACGCTTGCCAAAACTCGTACGGAGTATGTCCGACTGTCCAAAACCACATCTTTCAATTTTTTTATTAAAAAATAACAAACATCTTTCGTCGACCACTAGAGCAGAATACTGCTACCTTGATCCGTTCCAAAAATTACTATTATTTTACTAAATCTCAAATAGATTAGTGTGTTTTTTTTAAGATAACGATACACTACCCAAAACAGTGGCTTTATCATGTGCCACAGGTACTTGCCGAGTGTAACACTCGGCAAACAGCACACGACATCTATAGTTACGGTAAACGTCTTTTTACCGAGTGTTTTCTATCGGGCACTCGGCAAATACTTTACCGAGACTTGAAACCGACGTTCGGCAAAAAAAAGTAACATGACGGCACGGAGACGATCACGGCGCGTTTGCCGAGTGTTCCAGACCTGACACTCGGCAAACCTGCCTGCTTTGCCGAGTGTCAATTCCGGGACACTCGGCAAAACTGGCTGATTTGCCGAGTGTCAAATACCGAGCATTCAGCAAACCTGCCTTCTTTGCTGAGTGTCAAATACCTGACACTCGGCAAATACTGACCCATAACGTACAAATGTTGGCTTCTTTACCGAGTATCACAGCGCAGACACTCGGCAAAGAAGTAATTTTTGTCCCAGAATGCACAGATTTTTGCCACGTGTCCGATTTGCCGAGTGTATTTTTCATGGCACTCGGCAAATAGCCCTTTTGTTGAGTGTAACACTAGGCAAAGCTGTCACATATAATCAGTTTATTTGGTTCGGTCACAGCCACGTACCACATTTAAATAAACATCACATCCATCATAGATAGTTCACAATAAGCATCACAGACAGTTCATATAGATATATGAGTGAAATACACTGGCGGCCCTTTAACTTGTCGGCCTGTGCCAGTCTGGTCCACGAACTTGCAAACGCGGAAAATGGGTCCCTGAACTTGTCAAGTTGTTCACCGCAGGTCCATTTTCCATCCGGCGCGGCCTCCAGACGACGTGGCAGCGCCAGCGTGGCGGACGAAGCACGTGAGCCGCACATTTCAATACCGAACGCGGCGGGGTGGCGCTGCGTCCACACTATTTGGTGGACCGGGAGGCGCGAGATGCGGCGGCGCCCATGGCCGGCAACGGCTAGCTCGGCGGGGTGGCGCTGTGGAGCGCTAGCGCCTATGCGGGTTACACGGGGGTGGAGAGCGCGACTAGGCGAACTTGCCTAGGACATTCCCCACGGCGAAGGACGTCCGGAGGCGGTGGTACGTGCAGCGAGGCGGCTCGGCTGCGACGGCGTATCTCCGGTGAGCTAGAGTAACGCGTAGAGAGGGAGAGGAAGAGCGCGGGAGCACTGGAGGGTGCCTTAGCACGCCCCGAAGCTCGTCGACAAGCTCACGTCTACTGGAAAGCGGCAGAGGAGGAGATCGACGGCGGCGGCGGCGCTGCTAGCTCGGGATGAGGCGGCAGCGCCTGTAGAGCGAGAGAGGGAGCACGGGGAGAAGCGGAGTGAGTGTGGAATGCTCTCGCGACACTCTGGGCATCATTTTAGAGGGAGAGAGAGACCGCGGGAGGAGAGGAAAGGCCGGTCAAGGAGTTCGGCTCCATGCTGACAATGGCGGATCTCTGACTCGGTGCTACGGGACGAGCGGCTTGAGGCGAGGGGCTGCGGCACATAGAAAGGGTCTGCGTGGGGTGCTCGGCCGTGCAGGGGATGCGGGAGAAGGGCGTGGCCAGGCGTGGTCCAAGCGCTGCCGGCAATGGCGTTCGTCCTGTGCGGAGCCGGAGGTAGGGGGCGACCCTGACGTGAGGGGCCTACATTGAAACGTGCGGCTCACGTGCTTCGTTCGCCACGTTGGCGCTGCCATGTCACCTGGAGGCCACGCCGGATGGGAAATGGACTTGCGGTAAACAACTTGACAAGTTCAGGGGCCCATTTTCCGCGTTTGCATGTTCGTGGACCGGACTGGCACATGCCGACAAGTTAAAGGGCCGCTAGTGTATTTCACTCTAGATATATCGACAACACATAAATACAAATAAACTTCAGAATCACTAATAGGTTTATTCACAACCACAAATAGTCACAAGTAGTCACAGGTAATCCACAAATACAAATGCAAATAAAATCACAAGTAGTCACTTAGGCCACGGGTTCCACCGCGACCACGCTGAGTCATGAGGCTCATTCGATACCGCCGATTGATTCTGCACAAAGGAGAAGAGACTGCATGTGTGAGACAAGATTGAACAACATGTATGGTCTTTCTGCTGCCTAACTAGTATAACCCTTGCAACTATCATCAATATCTTCTCAGTTGCATTGTGCTCTAGTATAATTGCTTAAGTACTAATTGGAAACAAACATATAGCATTAGTCACTAAGTTTCTAGTGTCTGGGCATCTTTGTAAGATTGATTATGCATAAACTAAAAACGATGATTATAAGGTTGTAAAGTGACTCACAGTGCCTGAAATAGTATTTGGAGCAGGTTGAGGAGGAGGGACTGGCATCGGTGGTGGAGGTTGACCGATTGTAGCGTAAACACCCCTCATATATTCAAACATCTGTAGCCGCTCTGCCTCCATCCTCTGCCACTCTGCCTCCGCCCTCTGCCGCTCTGCCTCCATCTTCGCCTCTACCTCCTCCCGGTGCCTTATTTCTTGTTCCAGCTGAGCCTACAATATTTCATCCCAATGTTACAATGCAATGCAAAAATATGTAAAAATCAATGAACGATGAATAAAACAGAAATAACCTGGAGTGCGTTCATCTAGAACCGTATAGAGTCCGGCCGTGGGCGTATCGCCGGGCTAGAACTCGTGCTCCGTGCTCGAATCTGGGAGAGAGTGGGAGTACTGGCCGTGTCAATTGTGCCGTCACCAATCCAGAACCGGCCATGCTTCTTGCCTTCTCCCGCCCTCATGACCACTTCTCCATCAAGGTCATGGGTGCTCGGATCATACTCTAGGCCATGGACCGCCCTTGCCATCGATGTGTATCCATCATGGCGGCTGTGGACGGACTCGTTGCTGTACGCCGAGGGCGGGTCCTCCGGGTTGTAGGCGACGTCGGCCGTCGCCTTGCCCTTGGGGCCAAAGCATATGCCATGAACTAGGAGCAAGGCTCGCCACCATGTGCCGCCGACTGAAAAAAAGTAATATGATTAGAAATTATGCAGAATTGAGCGTTAGAATAAAGAAATGAATTTACGTACCCATCTAGCCGCGTATTCTGAGATGTTGAGGTTGCCTTGATGGTGTGGTGTACCCGGCATCAGCAAACGCCGCTCCCGACAAGCGTTGTCATTCTCCTCCCACGTGGGGTCGCACCACCTGTCCACCATCCGGGCCCAGCGCTGTAGATCGTAGGCGCACCACCACGGAGGCACCTACGTCATCAGGTATATGACATATAAGAAGATGAAATTAAGCATAATTAATCTTAGAAAAAATAAGTATTAATGTTCTATATTTACTTTTAGGTATTGTTTCAGGGTCAGCCTCATGGTTCTTGCCGCACTTTT